GCTTTGAATTAGATATGGTGACTGATGAGTAATGCGCACTCTCTTGGCATCAATCTTGAATGGCACGATCGCTTCCTATAAAAGAGATTTGCTTCGACCAAGTTCGTTGAACGAATGTCAGCTGTCCTCAAATAGCAACACTGTTCTGGCTTCTTGTCAGAGCAATCCTCTCTAAGTGTCACAAAGTGAGGAAGGCGATTCTCCCCATTCCATCATAAACGAGGCTCTACACATGAGTCACTTTGAAAGTAGGTTTCCTTGCAAACATCGTGCACTCCTTGAATGAGCAGGAGCGTCGATGCGAGTCATTGCGTGTCAGAAGCTCCTCGACTGTAAACGAACGACTACGTCAACCGATTTCATTATTGCTTAGGATAAAAAGCATATGTCATGTAAAAATCCACACTGGAAATCGCTATGCGTACTAGTGAACGTAACGCCCCAACTCGCTACAAAGCGAGGCCTTCACGCCGAAAAGGTCATGACCTCATTCTTCTTATGGTTTACCGATTGTTTCACTATGAGATCCTAACAGAGGATACTGCGGTTAACGCAAAAGTGTTTTCTTATTCTTAAGGGAAATGGTGTTCGGAGCCCCTATTTCACAAAGAAATTCTTGGCGCAGTGAAAATAGTCGAAGTTCTCTAATATTTTCCCTTTAGAAACTTGGACGGCCAAGCCCTACTGCGCCCAGGGAAGAGATTCCTTCTTAGTTCCCTATCATCTCGACATTCAAAAGGACTGCCTAGCTCAACTTTCGTCCCTAGATGATCACCTTAATCACCTGAATTCAAGCAGCATGGGCAAGCATACTTTTTCAGACAAAGTCGTGCGTTTCGCGTGGGATGTGAACCAACCCTTCTCTGTTGGGCGGTAGAAGGTTAATTCAGACGTTTTCGACCTGGCTACTCTATTGATAACGTCAGGAAGAAAAGTTAATTTGCTGATATACCGTTTCTGAAAAATTGTGAATTCCGCTTTTGAAGCAATGCCTTGTGTGCAGCGATCCCTTCTTACTCATTCCATCGTCTCACGATTCCTATTCACACCCACCTTTCGTGGGGCTAGTTGAGCCCATGATTAGTGTCCTCGCGCTCCCTTGAATAACTTCGAGGTTGAGTCTTACGTCTCCCATCTTACCAAATCAAGAAAACGACCTTTGTTCTCGCAATTACTGACTTTTCTTTTCGTTAGCATCCTCGCTGTTGAGACGGCTGAAAGCAGCGGCCATCGTGCCTCTGGAAGAAGTCACTAACCATCTGGTTCATCCAGAACTTTGCGCAAATCTTTTGATTCCACAGCTCTCTTTACGCGTCCGTCCGGGTGTCCAGTGCATCCACGTAAGTGTTTGGGCGTAAGTCACAGAGCAATCAAACGATGTATGTTAAGGTTCAACCGGCTTACTCATTATCGAACCGGGTTCGATATGAGCAGGATGTCTCGTCTCCGCGATTCGGTTGAATGCATGAAAAATGTAAAATTTCGATGGGTCCGTAATATCATTAGAAGAGATGATGAGAGATGGATAAGAATAACTGTTTAGTGGAGCCCTTTAGGATTTTTACACTCTGAAGGAACTCTGAAGGAAGGGCTGCTGGTTGAATATGAGAGCCTGTTTTTCTCAATTCAGGCCAATCGGCATACTGTCACCAAAGTAAAGCTATCAAAATCAAGGTAATACTCTCTAAAAGGTGGAATTGTGAAGATGTCGCCGAACTCGTGCACCCGAGCAAAACGATCAAATGTGATTGTTGTAGCCAACGAGTCTAGAGTATGAGTTTCAAATTGACTAAAAAGTAGCCATGTTTTGGCAGTTACGCAATCACTGATTAGTTGTAGTAGGGATTTGAACCACAAGTCTTACATTCTCCAGTATTGGTACCATTAACTGCCACTAACTACCACCTTTTTTTGAAGAATAAAGTGGATACTTCTGACGAACTGTGACCCTTTGACTGCCCTACAACGTTTTCCTTTTCCTAGTTAAATGGACAGGCAAGTTCCAAACAGGCATTTCGAGTGTGAGCATCGTCATAGAAGAACGACAGCACTTCGTTAATGGTGGAGTGCACAAAAAGCACATGGGCCATTGTATCAAGTATTTCAGTGAATAAATATAACAATGTCGCCTATACTCATAAAAGTTTCATATTCAAAATTTCATAATGCATGGAACCCTGTTTGTGTGATCAGAAATCCCAAGCAACATATAACAAAGGGTTCGGTTTTCCGGTTTAGGCAAAACTGAATTCGGTTGGTTGTTGTATGTCTCTACATGAAAAGTGGGACGTATGAATGAGTTGCAGTCTGTTATCTACGTTGTTTAAATTCTTTTGCCGTACGAGGTTTTAGGTGGAACACTTTA